CACTAAATGATTTCCATATTTAATAAATAAAAGTCAAATAGGAATAAAAAATAATTTCTATAGATTGAATCATGAATTTGCTACAAATGACTTGTTAATACTGCATCAAATCATATACAACTATATATTATATAAATATAAATATATTATATTGATAAATACCTATAAATATATTGATTTCATAAAATAATAACAAATATAACATATAAAGTACTCGAACGTACAATAATTTTTCATTCAGTTTTTCTTATTCATTGTCTCTCAAATATATCATCCATAGTAAAATAGCGTACAATTATAATAGTATTTATATCTCATAATATAATAGTCTAATAGTATAATATCCAAATGGAGTCCGAGAATCATGTCAGTAATGTATCCAAGAAATACAGAATATTCTTGACATTGATGATGTGTATCGCATATTTCTTGTTTGTGAGTACTTTTTATTTCTTAAATTGTTTTTAATAATTGTGATTCTTATTAAAAAATAATAATTAATTAACAAATTTATCATGAATAGGCATTTAATAATTACCAAACGGGCCAATCATTCACAGACTTCGAGCACATCTATGGCCAGAGTTTTACAGTCATTTCGTACGCCAATACTATTCGCGCGTTTTCCTACGCCATCGGAGCTCTAAGTATTTAATTATATTTATTAATTGTATTTAAGTTTTATTAATTATATCAATTATTTCCACTCAAACCATAAGTTTTTAATATCTGAAATACGGTTCAGTAATTGTAACTTAGAAAATATTTGTATAATTTAGATATTAATAGGTAATAAGAATTCTTTAAATTATAATTATTTAAATCCAATTCATTTAATTTGTGCATTTTATACAATCAGTGATTAATTATGTTATTTACATTATATCACTTATAATGTTTAAAATATAATAATTTAATATCAATGACATTATAGACGGGTTCATAATAAATGCAGTGAACAAGCAACTGGTAATAATGGTGTATTTTATACTCGAGGGCTCAACTCAGATAATAGTGTCATATCTAAAGTACGTTGAGGTCCTATACCTGGATTACGCCATCAATGGCTTCGTGGCCGGAGCCCTCGAATTGATCACAAATGTGTGGACAGTGGAGATGTGGGGCCGGGAGTGCGGACCATACGTTCAGGCGGTGCATTGGGGCGGAAGTATAGCCGCCATTCTAACGCCGCAAATCTTCGCGCCCTACACTATGGACCCCAAACATCCCGACACCTCTCGCATAGAAATCCCATACATTATCTTAGGCTGCATTTCGATAGGTTTCGGCCTATTTATGGGAAGTCTGTACTTCTACGAGAAATATGTTCCGCGAGAAGTCAAACGAAATCACGTGATCGACACGAAGGAGAGTCGAGTGATGCAGAAGTTTCGTGAGGCGAACGCCATTGTCATCGCTGAACTCCGGCCCTCCATTCCCAAGCATATAGTCGTGGTTTTGTGCAGTTTTATGGTGGCCATCGCACTGACCCTGCAGTGGTCCCAGTTCAATTACATCATCACATATGTCGAGGAGTCCGACCTACAGAACTCCGGCCCTCCATTCCCAAGCATATAGTCGTGGTTTTGTGCAGTTTTATGGTGGCCATCGCACTGACCCTGCAGTGGTCCCAGTTCAATTACATCATCACATATGTCGAGGAGTCCGACCTACACATCCAGAAGGAGGTAGCCACCAAAATGAACCAAGTATTGGCCGCAGCCCTACTGGCCAGTCGTGGTTTTATGACATTTTTTGCTAGACTACCCTTCGTTACGCCTAAAATAATCAATTTTGGGAGCTATCTGTTAATATTGGCGGCAGAAATACTATACTTGATATTTACCAATACTAACGAGACGGGTGTTTGGGTGGCCAATGTTATATATGGGTTAGGTTTGGGCCCAGTCATGGCTGGTGCCTATCAGTTGGCCGAAGAATGTTTATCACTCACGGACCTAATGGGCGTACTCTTCATATTCATGAGTGGTTTTGTTACAGCTATTACACCCATTATAATGGGCAAGTTTATGGACACTAAACCCCTTACATTGGTTTATGTCAATCTGTTCTTTATCGGTTCAGCACTTGTTATCATTATTATTCTTTATATAATATCAAGATTATACATCAAGAAACCCGATAAAAATAATGATAACAATAATAATGGTATAGCACTTGAAGCCTTTACCCCTAAGCGTACTAGTATAATCATTAACAGCCAATTATGAATGTTATATTGACCATTAATGTGGTTGTAAATTATATTTAGTGTTGCAAATGTATAAACCCTGTACAGTATAAATATTATGTGAATCAATGTTTCCAATAAATTCATAAATGATTACTTAAAAATTACTACTTAAATAAATAAATTAAAATTGATATCTCATTAAATAAAATGTTTATTTAAACTTCATAAGTGTAAATTACTTTAATTTGTCTATTATTAAAAGACATATAAAATGAAAATTAATCCATAAGTCTAAATTTATACTAGGCATTTAATTTTCTCTAGATAAAATGTTTAAAAGATGATATAAAATTAGACTTTCAATCAGCAGGTGTTGGGAAAACTCATAAGATAACATTTTTATATATTAAAATGATGCCAATTACTTTTAAAAATAACTATAAAATAAGATGTTTTTACAATTACTATACAAAATAAGTGATATTGTAAAACAACCAGAATTGACAAATAAAAACCAGAATAAAGCAAAATTAGATGTGTAATTGTAATTATAAAATTCATTTATCTAACATTGTTTATTGCTAAATATTTTAAATAAATAATGAAATAACACTTATTGAAACTCTTGTTCACTTTGGAGTAGTATATTGTATAGTTTATTGAAAATAAATTCCTTTATGATTAGTTATAAATATTAATTTTTAAAAATGTTTCCCGAAAATACTGGTTTGGCGCCTATATCTAAAGGATATAGATTTACATTAACTATTACATTAAGTCTTTGCTACTTTTTATATGTAAGAAAATGTTTAACAATATTTTAAATAGATATTAATTAAAAGTTTGTAAAAATTTGAGGCATTTAACACATACACGACGGGTCAGTCGCTTTTGGATTTGCAGCTAATCTATGGCACCACTTATTCCCAAATCTCTGAAGTCGATACATTTCGGGCGTTTGCTTCGGCGGTGGGAGCCATCAGTATTTGACCTATCATTTCATTCATAGTCCAGCAAACAATTTAAAGTATTTAATATTTTGTTTCAGATGGCATAGTGTTTGATGTGATCAATAAGCAAATTGGTTTAATGTGTTACCTAATAATAATAGCGACGACTATGATTTTAACCCCATTTGTTGAGTACATTCAAGCTCTGTATATTGATTTCGCTGTCAATGGCTTTGTTTCCGGAGGTATAGAATTGTGTATAAATATATGGGTGGCCGAGATGTGGGGCAAGGAGTGCGGACCTTATTTACAGCTCGTCCATTGTGTGGGTAGTATATCGTCCATTATAACCCCGGAGCTATTTGAACCGTTTCTTACGGCTGATGATATAAATAAATGTACGGATGACTCGGTTGCCGATTCATCGCACAAATGGGCTATTATTTCAAAACTTTACATTCCGTACACTGTTTTGGGCGCAATTACTATCTTTTTGGGTCTAATCCTTGGATGTCTTTATTGTTATAAGAAGTACAATAAAAGGCAAATCACTGGCGATGTACTCAAAGATAACAAAACCGACACAAAGACTCGGAAAACATTGAATAAAATGAATACAATATTCATAACAGAATTCATGCCATCAAAAGCCATACTAATAATAATAGTGATGTGCGGTTACGTGATATCCATCGCCCAGACCGTCCAATGGGCGCAATTCAATTACTTGAAGTCTTTCGTCCAGTTCTTGGACTTAGGTATCAACGAAACAAACCTATCGTTGGTATTGGCCGTATCCTTCTTCGTGAGCCGAATCATAGCCATTCCTGTGGCCTATTATCTCAGCGCTAAAT